ATCTAGACTAAAAGGAAAGGGTGCAAAAGGAATGCTTTGTAATTCTGTTGCAAAAGAGCCAAATAGCAACACAAACCTGTGTGAAGGACTCGAGTCTTGTTCTTTTGAAATCAATAGGTGTACTGTACCTAGCTTTTATGGAAGCAGGACATATATGAGTCCAGTAACCCATGAGTTCACTCCCTTGGCTCACTGTTTAGGCAGAAGCAGATGATTGTAGGTCATATTTGCATATTTCTATGGAATCTATATAGGGGTATAAGCAAATCTGCTTCCACTGAGAAAGGGCAACGTGTGCAACTGCATATTTATTAACATAAATCAATATGCATAGAAAGGAGAGAAAAAGGAAGTGATCAAGAATTCAGTCCAGCAATTAGAGATTTTCCTCCTCTTCATAAACACTTGATGATCATCATTATTATTTCCTTTACAAGTTATTATTTTAAAACCCCTCCTTTTGAACCTATTATGAAAACCCTTCAGTGATTTTGTTGTAGAATAAGACTGAGAAAATGAGTGTGTTTAGAAGAAAACAGCATCAGTGATTTTCAGCACTACGCATAAGGGCAGGGTAAGGTTGTCTGTAGTTTGTGCTGAAATGTGAGATCAGAGCTCACACATGAAACACTGCTGGCTTGACCCTGAACACAGGGAAAGTGCTAAAGTGCTGACCCCAACAGGTTTGGCTTTGCACCTGATACCTCAAAAAAAAGAAAAAAAAAGAAGAAACAAAAATCCTTGAACTTTTCTTTGATGAGAACAGACTGCTCCTTTCAGAGGACAGAGGTTTTTTCCCTACCTCCTTTCCAATTGCACTGCTGCTTTTAGCCCAGCAGAGAATAAATGACTTAAGACACAGAACATGGAGGGCAGATCTATAGTAAACATAGAAGCCATGAATAATATATATATATATATATTTTTTATTTTTTTTTTTCCATCTACTGAGAGGCTTTGGAAGCCCCTAGTACTGTAGAGTCATCATATCTCCACACCATCTTCCATCTGGTTGTGAGAACATTAAACATTGCTGACGAAAATGAACATGGCTTGGCAACAAGATGATTCCTAGATGCTGGAAGTATTCCCTTAAGGGCTGCTGGAAGCATACAAAGCTTGGAGCATCCCGAGAATGTCGAGTGATACAGAAGTGTGCTGTTAAACCATGTTTGTCCCCTTATTTCCTCCTGAGTTAGAACAAGTGCAGAGTGCTGGGTTAGATTCATCGATAGCAAGAAGGAACTGTGCTAAACGCTGTTAGTGCCAAGTAGACAACTCCCATTTGCTTTAGAGGTACTTAGGTCCACTCTGAAAAAAAAACCAGGTGGGAAGTCCTGCTCTCGAGAAGAGTTTCTACTCTGCTCCATTGACATCAAAGGCTGCTCTATCCATTTAATTTTCTCTTATTGTTTGCAATAGTCCTTCCCTGTCCTCTACGCATTGAGTGTTTTTAATGTAAACATGCCCTGGCAGTATTATGTTTAAATAAGTAAGAGACATGTCAGAATATCTCAACAGTATTGATATTGCATATTTAATTCAAAAGCTTGCATGTGCTTTTAAAAGTTGCTCTTCAAACCTGCGTGACTTACTGGAAAGAATTGTGTTGCAGTTGGATTGCACATCATTATCTAGTTATATGCTGACTAAATATTGATATGTTAGAGCAGTTTATTTTTCAGCTGTTTGGGATGAATCCCCAGCCAGTGTAAATTGGCCCACATTTAAGGCAACAGAGTGAAGCTGATTTATACCAGCTGAGGCTGTGTCCTTATGCCCTGTTAAAAGCTCAAACTATCCCAAAATGAGTAAAGAACAGGGCAAGAATTATGAACCCAGGCAGTATTTTTTTCTCTATTTTTAACAGAAAAAAAACAACCCTCAAAAAAACAGTGATCTAATTTCAATACTACACCAAGGATTCAGTAGTATTTTAAAAGGTATACAAATATCTCATAGCTAGTATTTAGACTAAGAGGTAGATGTCATAGTCTAGGAACAGGACAGTGTGGAATGATGCTAATGGCAGTTGCTAAATACATCTATTTGCCTGTTAGACAGGACACAAAGGAGGGTTATAGCAACGGCAACCACAAGAAGGCTTACAACATTCTTTTCTTCTTTTGCTATTCTATGTTACCTGTCTTTGGGTGGATTCTTTCTGGAAGGGCTTGATGGAAAAGTGGCGAGAAGTAAAAAGATCAGTAATACAAAACTTCACGTTTACAAAACGTTAGCTTTATCATTAAAGGCATCCTCTGTACTTTGATGGAAGCATTTTGTACTTACAATTTAAGATTACCTGGCATTACTGAGCAAGTAGTGGAAATTCCAGGTGAGGTGATTCAGCAAAATAGGGGTCAGAAGAATGCCGCTCACTCTCTCTCTCTGTTGTTCATGCTAAAAATACCAGGGCATATGGCAGCATATTTCAGCATCTTAACATACTAGGCTCCCTTGAGGACAGAAAAAAAGAGGAAACTTGTGCTGTTGAGCCAGAAATAGATTACAGAACAGTGTTGCCAGATATACAGAGGGCTGGCAGCAAAGCCATTAGCGGAGTCAGTGTCTTACTTTGCCTAAAGGTGTTTCAGTGATATTTCATGGGCCTCAAAGAAATGGAAAGCAAAGCTAGTGAGAATGAGGAGTGATATAAGCAGATTTATAAATTAGTTTTTCATTGCAAGTCGAGGAATTACACATATTGCATTAGGATATCCACTGCTTGTATATGTACCTTCCAGTTTTCCCTTGTGACTGTTAGGGATCGTCCCCCTGCCTGAAATAATCAAAATGCATATTATAATTACACGGTTTTCCAATATCCATACACAGCAAGTACAAGATACTTACATGTAAGTACACTGTATTTACCTATATTTTTGCATAGTTTTTAGTGTGTACTTTGTGCCACTTAATAAAAAGCATTACTCATATTGTTTGTTTTTCTCTATCAGACAGCTTATTCAACTCAAGTTGAAGCAGCTGGATTTTTGGTATGTTCATCACAGATTACCAGTTCCTAGGAGTGTAGAGATTAGACACTTTGGAGGAGTCTGGATATGCGGTGGGGAAAGCTTGCAGTGTGAACATGAAGTTTTAAATCACCTCCTTAATTAAGAAATGCAATATCAGATTTATGGTGCAAATTTAAGAAACTTACCTTTAATTTGAACGGAATTGTAAAGGTAAGAACTCCATTTTCCTTTTGGTAACACTTTACAATAAGTGGCACTAAATTACACTATAACTGCTATGTTACAGGGAATTACATGTAACTACACTGTAACTGTTGAAATAGCTACTGTACATGTGCGTACATGGTAACTTCAGTGCTGTTACAATAATGAATTACATAATTACAGATGATTCTGTCCTTTCTTTTCGTTATATATATATATATATTATACTGTAATGAAAATACACAAGATGTTAACTTTCATGTCTTATTTAGAAAAGTTGGTTTTCTTCATGTAGTCTCAGTGCAAGACGAACCATCTTTAAGTAATGTGGAAACTTTTTTTAAAGTGTTCGAGCTTAAATTCTGAGCCTCAAGTTAATCATCAGGTTCCTTAAACTGTTTCTTGGTTTGTCAGATGACACTAAAAGAGTGGGAGGATGCACCCATTGTCTTCCGATGCACCACTTTCTTGTTCAAAGAATGAGAATGTTCTTGAAGCATTTAAAAAAAAAAAAAAAAAAAAAGAAAAAGAAAAAAAACTACATCAAAAAGTTTAAAAATAATCAGCAACTGACACTGTAAACAGTACACTGGCAGAAACGAGCTACCTGGTCTTTAGAAAACTACTCTGCAAGTGCGTGTGGGAGAGGATGTCACACGCATTTTAGCGAGGGCGGTTCCCCTCCAGGGCTTTCGTTTTACACCTCACTGGGTACCTCACACCATAATCAAGGTGGTATTTCAGAATGGGATCTTGGATAAAGAGAATGGATGACTGGCTTTTAGCCTACTGAATGTCGTTAGCGTTGAGCCGTGGTTCTGCTTACAAAAAAGAGGGATACCTCTTCTTGGTGCAAGATAATGGAAGATCAACTTTGTTATAAACCAGCACATGTGAGAAGTTTTAACTGAAAACCAATGAAATAACCTATTTTAACAGTACAATTTAGATCTCTTTTTGCCAAGTTTAAATGCTGTTTCTATGCCACTGGAGAAAATGGTTTGAAATGGTTACCTCAAGGGTGATCCTGGTTTTTGAAGGTCCTACCTGACCTTGGTTGGGCAATGGTTCAAGTCACAACCCTACGATTGAAGCAAGCTGGAGTTAGGAGGAATGAAAACAGATGTAAACACCATGCTGGTGGGGAATTCCACTTGAGCAAATAAGGCCCTTGTCCAGGGAAGCACTTATTTTTTTTTAAGCATATGAATAGTGCCTTACAGTCCAACGGAACTTCTCCCACGTCTGAAGCTGAGCACGTGCTGAAATGCTGAGCTGAACTGGGCCCCAGGTCCTGAAAGAAAACCTTGTCATATGTGATACTGTACTGTAGTGTGATAGTTTCACACTAACGTAACTTACTGTTATGACAAGAACCCATATTTTTGGTATTAAACTGAATGACTTCCTTTGCCAGCCTTTCACATATGTATGTTTTGAAAGACATGAATATCTTGTAAACCTATACTAGTTTTCAATGTGTCTAGTAGCACCTACCTGGTTCTCTCAAACTACCATATTATATTAACATATTATTGCATTTTTCCACAGATGGGTACGGAGTGAACTGTAAAAACAAGCATGCAATCACATCAATGCAGACTTATTTCTTTAAAATGTCATACTGTATATGATTTATTATGTTAACACTCAACCACATCATATTATTTATGTCTGTATATTTTGAAAAAAAGTGCTGCTTTGATTGACGTCACCCTTTTCTCTTAGAAATTAACAAGATAAATGTTTCAACAAAAACAATTAAAATACTCTAATATTGTCCTTAAAAGGTTTATACTCTTCTGATAAATAATCTGACACAGCACCTTTATCTTCCATTTTACCATACTACATGATGTCATATTCCAAACTCTCCCTTCCCCACACAAAAATAAAATCCCAGGAGAAAGTCCTTTACAGCAGACCATCATGCTTTTAGGCTTCACAAGTACAGAGAGAAACACTCTTTTGTCAAAGGTGCAAAACTTAGGAGCAAGACAAGAGCTCCATCTAGACTCACTTGCGTTCTCCAGTGTAGAATCATTTCCAAGAGCTGTTATAGCAACCTTTTTATTTCATTGGAAGAGGAAATAAGCCGATGGGCTTACAGTGTTTTGTTGTCATATTTAAGAGCATGTGATTTTTCAGCTGTCAGTTACACAAAAAATTTCAGAAATAATCCAAACAGAGACTTTCACTGTGGAGCTAAAAGCATGGCAGGAATTCTCTATCATTCACGGTGACATAAGTTTGTACCTCACAAAATGCATAGACAGGAATTTAATATAAAGAATTAGTCCATTTACTGTATACACAAAACATATATCTTTTGTTTTAACACTTCTATTTTTTCTTTTTTTTTTTTTTCTTTTTTCTTTTTTTTTAATTTTTTTTGGCAAACCAACATAGAGAAGCAGCTCTGGAACTGCCAAATTAAAAATCGAGAATTTTAGCAACTCAATATTATTTTTTAAGGATACTAATCAAATGTGGTTGTAATTTAAAACCTGAGGCTGTGCACTGGTTGTTAGCTTAAAACTACCTTTCCATATAACATTGTGCTTCCATTGTATAACAAAGAAAAAATTAACAAGAACTAGAAAAGTTTGCTGCTGAACAGTGCTAGGACATACAGACAAAAAAATACTATTACATGTTATCTACTCAGAATATTGATTTGAGTCATATCTAAAGGGATATAATGGACATTAGAAAATGCTTACTTGGGACTGACTTAGCTACTGCCAAAAAAGTTAAATATGTATCAAATAATGTTTAATTGAATTTATTATATGCACTATATACAGATACTAAAATGCCTTGCAGTTGTGCCCCATGAACATTTCAAATTGGAGTAGGCAGGTGAGTTCATGTGAAGCAAATAAATTATAAAAACAGAAATTAACTCAGAAAGTTCTCTAATCTTTGCGATCCCAAAAAGCAGTAAAAGGGCAGGACAAATCTGTTTCAAACCAAACACTATGATCTAACTTTGCAGAATCTGTATAGCTATTCAGCATGGTTTTACCACTGAAACATGGCACTGCTGTCAAGGTACCATTGAAAACATAACAAACCAAAGCAAAACAACAACAACAACAAAAAATGTTCAGTGGACTTTTTTTTTTCCCACCAAATCCAAGCATACAAGAAACTATACTAAAAATATTTCAGTTTGCGTTTTTTCCTAGGGCATATGTTTCAAAAACAGGTTGCTTTTTGACTTATAGATAGATATGTATAAAACATTCTTTGTAAACCTCTAATCTTAGACTTAACATTTTATGTAAGTAAATTAGGTCCTTACCTAATAGTATTTGTTATGAACATTGTTCTATGACATACTAGTAGGGACATGATAAAACTGAAAAAGAAGAAAGTTGCATAACATTTAAAAATGTAGAAAACTTGGATTAAGATGATGATTAACATTGTTAAGGCTGTATATTCAAGCACTGTATGTTAAGAGAGCAGTGGATATGAATTTTAGGCAATAAGAAATGTCCTGCTTTACGCATGATACTGTAATTATAGAATGATGATGTCAACAGCTGATTGTTGGCATAAACTGGCTACTTATAGCAGGTATGCGAGTTAATAAAGATAGCAGAAGATGGCAGAAATGAATTCTGAGCAATGATAGCCAGTTTTCTCCAGCAGTCAGCTTGATAAGTCAAACTCCAAGATTCTAGCTCTGCATCTAAATGAAATACTCTTTTTTCTCCTCTGCATTGACTTGGCTGCCTTCTGCATTGATAATGGCTGTGTCGGCATCAGGTGCATCTTCAGCTCCTTTTGCTTCATTTGTTAAATATGTTCCTACAGGAATTAGTACAACAGAAAAGAAAAAAAAAAATAAAAAAATGATAGATTAGGATATTTTTAGCTTTACATTGCATTATAGGAAGTATATTTCTAACAGTGGCCCGATTGCTTCATGAATGGACAAATATTTCTAACAGAATTTTAGTATAAATCACACAGGTGTGCTCAACTTTCTAATATGTCTTAAGAAATACTTGTAGTATTAGTACTGATAATGCACATGCACAAATTCAAGCATATCCACAATAAATCAAATAAATCTTTTAATAAAAATCCACTTTATCTAACTGCAGTAATATGCAATATATTTTGCAATTATAGAGCAAGTGAAAAATCTTGGTTATTTCATGGAACAGCTACCCATAAAAAACAAACCAACTTTGAAGACTTAGATATTCATAAATGCTTATTTTCTTAAAAAAGGCAACCAATTATTTTTGCATTTTTATTTTTTCATTATCGTATCTATACTTTAATTTTACAGAATTGTATCATAGTCACTTCCATGAATTACAAAATTGAGGCAGTTTTATTAACTGAATCCACCACTCAAATTATACTATCACAGAAATTTTTATGCTCAGGATGCGAATAAAAAGAACTGTGTACAACAGTCAACTTTCCCTATATGAAAAGCATTATTTATGTTGGCATAAGATGTATACGTGTTCACACAGGAAAGTAAAACAAAAGACACACTTTCACTGGCTCTTTAAAAGAATCTCGGTTTCCCCCCACACAGTCCAATCAAACTAAAAAGATGGTTTTATCAGCTTCTAGCTGCTACCCATATGATTATCCTGTCTAAAATAAGATTTAATGAGTTAATACCAACACTAATCCTCTCTTCACTTTTTTTTTTTGTTTGTTTTTGGTGGGAATAGGGAATCAACCAAATTTTAACAACCGGTCTACAAGTCATTCAGAGGTTAAATCTCAAGAAATGATTTTGGAATTAACTAGATCAAAATCGGATCATAGAGAAGCTTGGTCAGAAGTCAGTGTCACTCCACCCCTGTTATTTCTAATGGCAGGAGATATTGAAAATGAAGGGAGTAGAAATCTGAAGATTAAATCTCTGAATGAAGTAAAGCTTGGCCCAGGAATGAAACCTTTATTCCAGTGAGATCATTGGTAAAAGTCACTGATCTGAAAACTCACCACTGGCTTCTAACATTATCTTTTTAAATACACATTTAAAGTGTTAGCACAATTTATGAAAACGAGAAATCTTGTTCACTCAATGTATGCATCTTCTGCTGACTTGATATTCTAGTGAAAACTATGAGATCATGTAATCAAGTGTCTAAAGCTAAGGGCTCAAACCAAGGGGCAATCTGATCTCTCAGTCTCTCTAAATCACTGGCACAGTATGACCTTGTACATGTAACGAGATGCCCTTTGCCTTAGCCAGTCCACCGGAAAACTGGGTAAAATTCAGGGACTTTGCTCACTGTGAACTGAGCTTTCTAGTCCAAATCATTTAGCAGATGGGGGGAGGCAAAAGGCAACAGCATTCCCAGGTGAAATCATGCCTTGCTTCCAAAAGTGACTGAACTTCCACTAAATCTGGCTTACCTTTATGTCTTGCCAGGTATCGACCAAGGAGAATTATAGAACATAGCGTTACAAAGACAACTACAGCCACTATTCCTCCTATAAGAGCGTGGTCAGGTCCAGTCTGTCCAGCCAAAGCATTTGGATCTAGAGGGAGAAATGAAAAGCAAAAGTAGTCCTAAGCAGCCAAAACCTGTCAGGAAAATTCACAATACCGAGTTTTATACCAATCATCCTGAAAATAGGGCATTTCCCTCTTTAATATTCAGCATGGTTATTCCCACTTTTACTACCAGTATCTTATCAACAATATAGTGCTGCTTGTATTCCCGGATTGTTAAAGCCCTGAGGACATCACAGTTATGAAAAATATTACTTTATTTTTCTCTGGCAGAGGTTATTAAATGGGAAAGGTTTCTGGTTTTGTCCTCGTCATTTTACAACTGAAAACCTGGCCATAGCTATTTATAGAAGGAAAAACAAGGAACTGAGAATTGGGGATCAGATAGCATCAGCAGAATAGTGTCTGCATAATACATAATTTATAGGATTGATTCTCAGTGGGGATCCCTTATATATTCTCTTCCTCTCATTCCTATCCTATTGCACCAGGAATAAAAAGGCAGATAAAGTGCAGCCGTGCCAAGTTCCTCTGCACATGGCTGAGTCTGCATGAATTTGGTCAGATAAAGGTATCAGGCAATCTGAAAGATCATAATTCACTCTCGAGCATCAGTTTGTGAATTTACTATGAATACTCGATTAATGCCCAACATGAACAAGCTGTAATAGATATTAGATATATTAGCAGGTTCATTTTACTATTGCAGAGAGCTCGGAATACTGCCAGATGGAAACTTTCAGTGCTGGTCATCTGCCCGTTCTCTTGCTCGGTGCTTCACAAAAGTTGCAAAGAGAAATGGGAAATCATTTCATGGGAAATGGCACTACTTAGGGGTGAGTAATTCTCTGGAGCTTTTGAACAATGAACCAGCAACCTGTGACTGTTGACTCACCTGAAATATGCAAAAGAAGGTAAAAATTCAATCTAAGGATCACGGTAAGATTTCTATTTTAATGAAAATGCCTTTGCTACGAAGCAATAGTAATTCTCTGAAGATGCTATTAGCTTGTACTGTATGTAGCAATCAGTCTACTCTCACTGCTTCAAGGGCATTTCCCTTGTAGGAGCTGTTTATATTCTACAAATAGTTTGCAAACGACTTCTTTGCTTTGCAAAAGGGAAAGGCAGGAAAAATATTTACACAGAAAAGAAGGCAAGTCTGTAAAGACATAGAAGGGCCACTGATAATGCCAAGGAGATATACCTCCATGATAGGGATAGCAGCAAGATGTACAGATCTATCTACACAGACACAGGGTACATAAATATAACATTATATAGATGGAATTAAAGAATCATGTTTTCCCCTCCTTTTGTAAACTGTCAGGTGTACTGAACCAGGTTTGCTGGAGCAGAGCGAAATGGCCACTGTTACAGAGAGTTCTGCTCTTAGCAGTCACTGAACCCATCAGGCATGGCTTTGCTTTGTCACTTATCGCTGGCTTTCTGAGCTCCTACAACTTTCTCTTCTGACTCTGGGGAAGCTGGCCACAGCACTTCCGTGGACATGATGTCAAATAATAGGCACTGGCCTCAAAAAAAGCTAGAAATACCTTAAAAAGTCAGCTGTGCTTGCCCCCTCCTCCATCTCCATGAACCTCCAAGCATGGTGCTACTGTTGGTGGCACTACACTCAGTACACAGAATCAGTCCAAGCACACATCGGCTCTATTTTGGTGATTTAAGAAATGTCCACGAGTTCTGTATGCCTGGCAGGGAAAAGCAAGAGGGCTGAAGTCTTGCCTCCCCAAAGCAAGAGCTTGCAGCACGCAGCCACCCTTCCCCACGCCTTGCAGAAGCTCTGCTTTCCGAGGGGAGTAAGGAGGAGGTGACTGCTCTCTTGAGAAAACAGAAGGTGACAGCTTGCTGCAGGATTGTCAGCCTGCTTGAGCCACCCAGCAAATTCCTCCTTCTGTGATGCCTGGAGAAAGGCTGCCGTAAAAATCCTCCCTGCAGCAAAAAGGCAGCACCAGTTCGGGCACTAAGGAGCTGGGATGTTCCTGCAGGAGAAGCTCTTGCCCAACACTGTGCCAGGAGCAGCACAAACACGTTCTCCAACTACAAGCGACCTCCTGCAAGTATACTAGCAGTAAAATTAAGGAACGAAAGGAGATATTTTAAGGGATAATATACTTTCTGATGCAGAGTACAATCCAGAGAAGGGTTAGCACAGCACTTTATCTAGAGGCATTTTTTGAAAAGCTGATTGCAGTGTACAGCCTCAGCTCAATAGCCAGATTTACAACCTACCTCCTCTGTGAGCTTTAATAAACGTTAGAGATAAAAATCTTCACAATACACCGAGATGAATATGCCTCTATTTTTATCCTTAGGTGAATTCCTATTTATTTTATACTCCTATACACTCCTCTGACATACCTGATGTGACTACATGAAGTGACCTAAAGCCAGCATACATATAAGGTTCCCACCTATGAGTGTGGATTAATAAGATTCTACTGCAGCTATAGGTTGAAATTTTTAACTTTAAAATTAATTTAGGTATTAATTGGAATGCACAGGTACTATTGTATTTCTACTATAATCTCTTAACCTTGGTATCAAAGCCAGATGATACTGATAACTATTGCTAGACAAGTTTATCCACAAAAAAAATTATTAAAGACCTATTACCATGATATTACCACTGAACAGTTTATTTCTTAAAAATAGAAAAGGAAAGGAAGGAAGAGATGGAAGGGAAGGAAATAAAGATCCTCAAAAGTGGTCAACATTTTATTGGGAAACAAGCATTCTTTCATCTCAAAATTAAAATCTCTACAACATAAACAATATTCTGAACAGGAAGTGCACCTCATAGAAATATTCTCCTCATAGAAAAATAATGTTAGCATTAAATATAAATATGCTTTACATTATGCATACAGAGTAATGCACTGTACTTTTGCCATTCATGAAATGACCTAAGCCCCACGAGTGAATTATAGACTTGGGACTATCTATCAGTGTATAAATAATTCTGATGTCAAAATGTGCCTGAACAGGATCTGAAAGATAGAAATACAGGGGTTTGGAAATGACATCATTTTGTCTTTTAGGTATTTATACAGTGAACATGTATAATTATCCAAGTGTTCCTTCTGGGCATTTGTATTAGCTATTCCTATTAAAATTCCTGAAAGTGCCAAGTTTGTATTTGTGTGCTGACCACTCCACAGTTTGCTTTCCAAAAAATAGAACAGTATTCAGATTATTTTTAGATTCCCATTATAAGCTTCATGGGCTTTACCAGGTAAATCCTACCCTGCCGCACGCATAACTCCAGCAAATGAAATCTTAAGTATGCAACTGTGCAATAAAGACTTATAACACATCTGTTTCCATTAAAAAAAAATAAATAAAAAATTACTCTGTTCCTGTTTTAAATATAGACTGTTTTTTACTGCATGAACACAGGCAGCTACAAAAGTCGTGCCCTGAAACAGTGAAATTAAAATTTTGTAATCAGACTAGATCTTCTTCAAAGATCAGTTCTTTTTCTGTTTATTTCATCCTTTGATGAGACTAAGGAAATCTTATAGCAAGATAATGACACAAAAGCTCCTAATTCTCTTTTGTTTGTTTTCGTTCTAAGTTTAGGAGGCCTCTTCAAAATACTGATTGCTGAAGCTGTGAAGTTGCCCCCATTTTCAGCTTCTGTGATTTGCCTGTTACTGTTTGTTCACACACCTACAGAAATAACACACTTAAAGTGACTAAGAGGAAAAAAATGTATCATTCATTAAGAAATGAAACACATCAGACACATTTTAGACCTATTAAATAAGTACATATGTGCTTTTTTATGACCTGCTGACAAAGTTTCAGTGTAGAACATTTTGATATGAATTCACATATTAGTTAAGCAGAGAAATTTTGGAACAGTTTTTCATACTTTTGCATAAAATATATGTTACTTATTCATCTAATTTCATTTTTTTTTCTTGCATAAGTTTTGTTCTTATTTATGCATAGTTGACTTAACTGAGCAGGCTGTAGGAAAGGGTCAGATAACCCTTTCCTGAGAACAAGCACATTTATGAATACTGAAATGGTATATTTTGGGGAATATATGCTCAAGTAGCCCCCTTTATTGCAGAATTTTGTTAAGGTGTATTTTTAGCTTAGGTACTGCAGTTTAAAAAAACCCACCACTCTTGAGCTTGAGATGTACCCAAGTTTAAGGCATCCAAAATAATAATTTGTTTTGATCGTTTCTACTAAAAGAAAAATTGGAAATAAAAGTCCTAATTTGCTGTGGAGCTTAAACAGATTTCACAAAATGAAGATGTAAACAGATGTATTATTCATAAATTACTGTTCCTTAAGGCTGGGAAAAGAACAGAGATGTCCCATTTCTCAGACAAGTACCGAAACCACCAGCCTAGAGTCACTTTTACTGATTTCATGAATAATCAATTGCTGAGGCAACACAACCACTCCAGCAAGGGATCCTGGGGCATGGCTCCATGTTACCATTTCTGTGGCAGAAAAATCTCTTCAAGTGACTCCTGTTTCTTTCCCCATATTCAAGAACTTGTTATCACCCCCAGTACAACTTGCCAATACTTCATACTTTTGCAAAAGCAATTTTTCGAAGAGCCTGGCTCAAAATCAGATCAGTAAAGCAATGTGCATTTTAGAGTGGAGAAATCTAAATAGGATAAAAAGTAAAAAAATGCTCTGTCATATCTGAAGGGCTGTGGAATTGTTGTACATGAGGGCAGGGTGAAAATGAGTGGTGGGAGCCAGTGAGTGTTTCTGAAGAAAATCGAGCAAGGAACCAAAAATCATGAGACATCTACAGCTGTACTACTTTTAAGTGACTTAGACAGAGGAGAACAAACTGCAAAAACTATGGGATGCAAGTAGCTTTGGGTTTTGTGAAGTCCACCAGTGAATGCAAGTTAAATTAGAAATATTACCCATTGAAACTTCTGTGCATTTCAGCTTAATTTCCTAAGGAGAGATGGTTCATGTGATCATGCTCTTTCACTCTGTCCAAATTGAAGAACCTCGCATC